GGCGCGAGGTTACTTTTAACTTAAGAATACTGTAAGAGGTTACTGAATATTTAAAGCTTTCAACTGATCCCTCTTTAATATTTGCTATTATCGACCAATGTAAGTTCCAGGTTCTGAATCGTTTTTTATCGAAATGCCTTGTACCTACAGAACATAAGTGTCTGCGCATAAATACTTGCAAAAGTCCAGTATTTTCACTTAGGAGTAGTATTCAGTTGTTTACATTTCTTTTATTTTGTCACGGACTTTTCTCTTTAAGCCTATCATAGCTGCTGAGTGAATTAATCAAAAAATAATCTTTCACTTAGTGTAGGATTTTTTAAATAAAGTTACAAAAATTAAAGATTTGGCATTTATTTCTTAGAGATGTTTTTATTTTAAGACATAATGCTTTAGTTTTGTTATTCTTTCGAGTATGAAGATTTACATAAGATTAATCTAAGGATGAATTTATATTTGGTTAGCAACTAGATGTTTTCATGATACCCGATAATCAATTAACCTTAGCTCCTTATTAGGTATTTGTCGCTGGAGCCGCCAAATTACTCGGCGGAACTAACTGTTGAATTGGTTTTTAAGAAAGGGTAGAGCGAGACAAGCGGCTGTTGGAAAACAAGCTGCAACATAGCACTAGAATTAAAGTCAAGAAAAATGCAGGGAGAGTGTGGGTGGATTGAGAAGCTAATAAATAAAGTTATAAGAACTCGGTCACCATATGACTAGGGATTCTATCGAACTACTTGACCAAGGATATTAGCGACACCTTTCATTCTACCCTTAAGGTTAAGCCTTTTTTTTTAGTGCAAGGCAACCATCGTTTGTTCACCGCGAGGCAAATACTTTCAGAAGCGCTGCTGAAATACAAGAGGTATTTAATCAAAGTTGCCAAGAAACGTCTTTTGATCTCCTATCGTTTGTTTCAACTTCCCCAAAGGCTTCGAAGGTTTCACAGGCGAAAAATGGTAACATCCTCAAGTTATAGTTTCTTCTTGATTTTCTTTTTCTTTTTCAAGATTTTCTTTTATTCACTCCCTGACCCCTCCCCTTTAAAAATTAAAAGAAAAAAAATATCGAATCAAGTTACAATCTAAATCGCCCCATGATTGTTAGAACTTCCCTACTGGAATGAAAACAAACCAAAAGATCTAACCTCGCCTTACAATGAAGCTCATTAATTTTTTCCAAAAGCGTTCTCTATATCTTTCCAATGAAAAAGATTTTGAGAAAATTCCCGACGAGTTTATCCATGTGAAAACACGCTAATTGGCTAGTGAACACAGAAATTCTTCAAAACTCCTTTCATTTAAATATGTTCCCCATTGCTTTCCGATGATCATTACACTACATGTACATTGCTTGATTAGGAGTCCTTTTCAGGCGCTGATATTATCACGGTGATCAATTGTCTTGGCAGAGAAACTACGACAATGAATTATTTATCACTCTTGATTTTAGCGGAACATTAAATAGGTCATTTAAAACAGAAGTGATAGTTTCTCTTCATTAAGAATCAAGCAGGTGAATTGGAAGGTTGCGCCATGGGTATCCACATAACATTTTGTCTACTATTTTTACTGATGATGTTTTCGGATGCGATGGAAAGGTAACTTCACGATTTTTTTTGAAATGGTTGAGGTTTGTAGCAGAAATTAATGTTTTGTTTGCTCTAAGGCGTGCAATGCCAATAATAGTTGGTTTCATCTGTGTGAATTTGTATTACGACAATTCATTCTCTTAGTTGAAATGATATATAACCAATTTCATACGACCTGATCCACATGTTTAAAATATTAATAAATCGGATTTGAACTCATTTCAAAATTATCTATACTGCCTTTTAGCGCTGAGGCGACCTGAAATAAGCATGACGAAATAAATTAAAATCATACGATTAGTGAACAAGTACGTTTTACGATCCAAATTTTTGAGAACGAAAGAAAAACGGCGTACTTGAAAACTTATTGTAAATAGTTAGATTTCACTATAGGTTTAAATAAAAGTTTTAAACCTACATGAACGTCATGAATGAAACAAATCAACTCATGGTTAATTGCATGGGCATTTTCGTGTTTTTAATGATAGACGGTACAATTGCCTTCAAATAGAACGAAATTGGACGGTAACTTTCTTCTAGGACCCGATGTGGCGAATTTATAGAAACTTGCAGTTCTTTCGTAAACTAGTAAACAAAACTTCATTAACAAATCAACTTACCTTTCTCTCCAAATACTTAATCAATATTTCTATCGTGGAATAATTTACGCGCCCGTCCCCTCAATAACACCGCTTTAAACTTATATATCATTTCATTATGTTCCTTTATTCTAAACAATATACAGCAAATATCAGCTATCAAACCTCACTATGACACAGAGGCTGGATTCACTATTCAAACGTCCTCGTTATGATCCAAGGCTCCGTCCCTACTTCAACGGTAAGTTTTTGTAATGACATCTTAATACAGTCAAACCTCCCTTAATTGACCGTTCGAAATATGGTCGCTAGGTGGTGCTCACCTACCATGTCTGGGCCACCGGGGGTCTATATTTCGGGTACTTTGCATATGGTGATCGGACCCCTTCGTTAGCGCTTATCAAAACCTTCTGTAATAACTTTTAGCGGCTTATTCAGTGAAAATCAAATCTTAGGACTCATGATGATTATTTTTTTTCTCGGAAATTATTGAACACAGCGTTTGGGACAATTCACCTGAAAGAAACTTGGATCGTTTGTTAATCTAAGTGGCCGGTGTTGTTGTTGTCCAAATTTTTCCGGGAACGGAGCACATGCAGAAATTCACGACGTAAAGCTATTTCAGGAAACACTTCCGATGGCTCCTTTTTTACGACATCTGTCGAAACAATTTTCAGTTTCCGCTCGTGAGAGATAAAGACGATGGTCTGCCAAATGATCGAATGAGGTTTAAAACAATTGAAAACAGTGACAACCATCTCAATTGGTCGCTTATGAGAGGTGGCCGCTTACGAGAGGT